CGCCTTGATGGTGGGATCAATGGTCAGGTGATGGCATGTGACCTCAGGGTCTAAATCGGGCATCTCGGCCGCACTCCAGGCAAATAGATCAGCATTCTCCTGTAGGAAAGCTTTGAGTTGCCTTTTAGCTAGGTCGGGGAGGTCCTCTCCTATCTTTACTCCCCTGGTGGGGTCTTCTCCAAGGGGAACCAACTCGAAGTCGCCATCCGAGATAGGTCGTGCATGACTTGAGAGCTTGTTGTGGCCAGCAGAGGAGGTTGACGCTTCATCTTCGACCATAGGCTCCTTCCCATTCTTCCTTTTCACGACCCAGTCCTCCATAGAGAAGCGACTATCAAGGCCAATGGTGTCGACCCTTGGCAGTGGCCTGGATTCTACAGAGCTAGATCGCAACGTGGCTCGAGTGGATGTTTGAGGCTGGGCGTTGATGGAGCTGAGGTCCTTCGTAGAAGCTTTGAAGCATCTCATGGATGATTGGATGTCCCCGTGAAGAGTGGAGACCAAACCTTCAGTCGTGTAGTATTTCATCTTGAGATGAACGATGGAGAGGACCGCGATGAGCTCGACGAGAGTGGGTCTCCCAAAGATGCATTGATAGAGGGATGGGCAATGCACCACCAAGAATTAGGTCTTGATGGCTCTGGCCATTATCCCTCTCCTAAAGGTGACGATCAGCTCCACGTACCCCCATGGCTTCGTGTTGGCCCCGTTGAAACCTTGAATATCAGAGCCCAGGTAGGGGGTTAGGTGGCTCTCGTTCAGCTGCAGAGTGTTGAATAGTTGGGTGTACATAATGTCAACCGAACTTCCCTGGTCGACCAAAATTCGACGCACGATGAAGTTAGCCATTCGAGCTCTCACGAGTAATGGGATGCTCGAATCTGGGGCTCCTCCCGGTAACTCTTCCCTGTAGATTGCGAGGGGGTGAGATCCTCCTCGAAACTTGTCGAGCGTGGCGTCCATCTCAGAGTTGGCCTCGATGAATTGGTCGAACCTTCTCTTCACCGATTCGACTGTATGCTTGTTGAACCCTCCGCCAGAAATGACCATGGCTGCGGGGAAGGATTCCGATGGACTGTGGGTGGAGAAGTACAGGGGGACGTCCTCCATGTCCGAAAATTAGAAGTCTTCCATTCGTGAGATGCTCAAGGCGACCGAAATGGTGTCGAGGTCAGGGGATTTCTTCCCTTCTTCGACATTCTTTGTCTTTGGTGCTTCGTCACAGGAGGCCTCTTTTTTCTTATACTACTTGAGGCGCCCGTCTCTGATTAATATTTCGATTGCATCCTTGAGATGGATGTAATCCTTTGTGTTGTGTCAGTGACTCTTATGGAACTTGCAATACTTTCTCTTGTCGGTTCTTGACTTTGACGGTGTTTGTTGGGGGAAGCGCACCCCGGCTTGCTTGAACTCTGAATTAGCGCATTCGGAAAGAAGACACTCTCTTGAGGTTGTCAGGGGGGTATATTCTTGGAAACAACCGGTCATCCCCTTGTAGTCTTTAGGACCACGAGACATGTCCTCCCGTTTCTTCTCCCCTCGACGGGATGTCGAGGGTTCGTCATTCTTCGAGGGTTTGGCACTCTCCCTGTGCCTGGATACCCGGGCGTTGTTGGCTTCCTCTTTCTCCTCGTACTGTATGTATGCCTGGGCCTTTAGGAGAAGGGAATCGAGCGTGGCTGGTGTTTCTATGCCTACAACCTTGGCAAAGTCTCTACGGGGACGGAGCCCGCGCTCGAGTAGGTATTTCTTCATGTTGTTCGTTGTCGGGACCTGGACCGCTTCTTTGTTGAAACGTTCAATATATGCCCGCAGAGATTCGTCCCTGCCCTGTATGATCGCTTCGAGCGAAGCTTCTGATTTAGGGTGTCAGAGGGAGGCAGTGAAATGTCTTGAGAACATTCTCCCGAGTTTTTTCCACGAGGTGATGGATTCGTCGGGAAAGCTTTTGTACCACGCCATCACCCTCTTCTTGAGAATGGTTGGGAAGAGTATGCACTTGATGGCGCCCCTGACCCCTCTATAGTCGAGGAGGGCATCGATGTTCTCGATGTGCTCGTTAGGGTCTATAGTGTCGTTGTAGGTCCCTAGAGTGGGCGGCTTCTCTAGGCCGGCAGGAAGTGGAGCTTCGGTGATCTCCCTCGATAATGGTCGGTGGGGCTCGTCATCTTCACTATTGACGGGAGATGGAGAAGCATAGTGGTAGTTTTTCCCCCCATCGGTCGTCGCGGTCCCACCGAGGGGAGGGGCTCCTTCTCTTTTTCTTTGGCTCGGGAGAGGGAAATCGAGCGCGGTCGATCTGCTTGTTGCCCTTTCTCCTCTTGAACGAAAGGGAGTCTTGATCTCAGGAAGGAGGTGTGCGATTGCGTTTCTTGAAGAAAGAAACGCCGCGCCTTTCCTTTTTGGGTGGTGGACCACGCCTGGGTGGTGATGCACTGGGGGAACTTCATCTTTGGGCTCTCCGGGGAGGAGATCTTAAACGCCTATTTTCCAAGGCCCCTATCCTCTGATTTTGTTGAAGGATGAGGGCGTTTGTCTGATTTAGGGCAGCGAGTAGTGCTGCCATGGCCAGATCGGTGTTGACAGGGATAAGGACTGGTTGCAAGATTTCTGGGAGTTCCTCAGCAGGATTCTTGGAACGCCCTTTGTCCAAGAGTTGATCGTCACCATGTCGGGAATAAGTAGAGTCAGGGGACACAATTTGTCCATCACGGGGGCCCAGATTGTCCTCAAGGAGAGGGTGTTCCTGGCCTCCATCAGTCTTGCGAGCAGGGGAAAGGATGGTCTTTCCGGATAGGTAGAGATCATATAGTCAGCCATGATATGAGAGCTGGATCTTGAAAGAAGATTTGCTTTGATCTTAGGTTCCGAGGGAAGAAAGATGGGGATAGCAGCTTCCCACAGACGGCACCATTGATCTTGCGGTTGATCAGAACTTGGAGACTGCCGGAGGATGGTCTTCAGCCGGGCAGAGGAGACAGGGGGTTGTACCTGCAAGGTACTCCAATGATCAAGTAAGAGTGGGAGCAAGGAGGTACTATCAAAATATCAGGTAGTGAGTAGTGAATATGTGATACCTGGCCCTCACAGGTGTGAGGGTTTATATAATGCCCCTGACGCATGGCCATTGGTTCCTGATTTCTCGCCTAGATATGCAGGTCCAGAAAATCAAGTAACTGCCAGGACTTGGTCAAACCGGGTAGATGTGCACGTTACTAGCCGTTGGTCCCGGGGGAGGGCTGGTTACGGGCATTCCCCTTGTCGGTTCCTGAAGGCCCACACGACGTTGGTGTCGGGAAGGCTGAGGAGATGCTCGAAGGGCATCTTGGGTTGGTGTTGGGCCAGAAGGGCAATAGGGAAGGCATTGCCCGACACATGTGAGCAGCCTGGGCAACGACCAGCGATTGGCACTCATGAGATTTCTTAGACTGGGCCCAATCAAGTTGTCGGGCCAGTCCAGAACAAAAACTACACCAAAGCATTGTGCGAACTCTGTAGAGAAATCATATGTGTATATTTTTTTAAGTAAGCAAGAAGTTGCTGCTCGTATCTTGCAATAGAACACTTAGGTGTTTTTCATTGTATTAAAAAGTTTGTGTAATATGCTCACAAGAAACAAATCTGTAATACACTGAAAGTACTTAACTCTTGTTGAATGATAGCTTGAGAAACTGAGTGGAGGTTTGATCTGAAGAAGACTCCTGCTGCAACTTGAGTGGATTTATAATAAGGATCGACAAACTTATTGGGGGTGCCAATAGGGTTGATCCGACTTATTGTGGTTTGTTCTGTAATAAGTTTGGTTATAGTGGATTAAGTCTTTGTTAAAGGAGAAATCATCCTTGAGGGGGTGGACTGAAGTAGTTTAGTTAACAGCGAACCAGGATAAAATTATCGTGTTCCTTTACTGTTATATTCTAAGCTAAATTGTTCTGTCACCAACAAAAAAATATTTAATTTGGTGAAACCCAATTCAACCCCCCCCCCCTCATTTCTTGTGTTTCTCACACCTTTAGATTGATAATTGTGTGTGGTTTACTATTAATTTGCAAAATTGGGTTGAATAGAGGATATGCTTTTGTTAATTTCACTAAGACTAAATTAGAAGTGGGAATTTGTGTAATATTGTGTTTTAATATTCTTTGTAAACAATATAACTTTTAAAAAATAAAAATATCTTGCACCTCGGTGTTCCTAAAAATCGAGGGGATATTTTAGCGTTAAAGTTGAGGATATATGTCACAGTACTTAATCAAATTTTTGTCGTTCATTTCATGACTATCAACACTCAAGACACTAATATTAAAGATCCGTGTGAAACCTAGGTTAACTTCCATTATAAAAGCATTCTGAATATCAAAAATTGTTAATGAAGCGCTTGAAACTATCCTCCAATTTAAGATATGTAAAAGTCTTTGTCATGAAGAGTTTTCTATGATTGATTGCAAGAGCAGAAAATTATTTGGGTTTAAAGTTTGTGTATATTTATTTATCTAACCCTTTTTTTTTAGTATCAGAGACAAATGCAAGGAAAACCCGTAGAAAATATATTGTTTCCCAGCATTTGATCTTCCCAGGATATCAAGGATTTGAAGATCTAACATATGATTTTCATGGACAATTTAATTTTTATTTTGATATTCCGTATAAACAATGTAACCAGTTTAATATTCTGGGTTAACATTGTATTTTGTAAACAAATTATTTTATTGATTTTCTGTGTAAGCAATGTAACCAGTTTAAATTTAAAAAATACAAATAATTTATCCCTCGATTTTATTGATAAACCGAGATACATAAGGCGTTATTATTATAAATAATAAAAATACAGTTGGTGGAGTTCGAACTCATGCGCAATTACAATACCCCTCAGTGTTTTAAACACCGAGGTGCTAAGTCCATACTTTGTATGACAACCTTATTTATGTTGCTTCTGAATTCGAGATAAAATATATTTCGTGTCCGACGTTACAAGGACTTTTTGTAATAGTGTATGTTTTCTAGATATATTCATCGTTCGTTGCAATAGCATATTTTTTTCGTGTGCTGCATATACTGAGGCTTGGAATCGGCGAGATAAGCGTCACATAGTCGTATATTGGTACAACCCACTGTGTCATGGAGGATTGTTCCCCAGACAAGGGTAGGATTCCTATCTCTCTCCTTGAGGCTTGGCTCCGATTGAGTTGCACGTCTCTAAACTTCATCGTTTAACACTTTTGAATTGATTAGATCTGAAGGGATGTGTCAGTTACACAGAAATTAGTGTAATATTTATTCACACATAAATACATGTATTTTTTATCTATGCAAAAATATATATATTCATTGTCTATGCATAAATATATATATATATATATATATATATATATATATATATATATATATATATATATATATATATATATATATATATATATATATATATATATTCTTTATTATTCATGTCTTTTACATTCTAAAAAAAAGATAGACAAGGAAGCAACAAAATAAAGGATGGGTAAATATTTACCAAGGAATGCTATGTTGACACCGAAAAATTCCTACACCATATATACACCATATTTGTTTCAAAACATTATATCTCTGCACAAAAACTAAATAAAAAATATAAAAAACAAAAAAACAAAAAATGCATCTAACCGTATGTACATACGGTGTTAGTGTATATTTTAGTGTCATTATATCATTTTCCATATTTATAGGAAATGCTAACCAATATGTTTGGAGCACTTTTTAAATATTTAAAGTGGTAATTTTTTTTAAAAAAATATATATTTAATACATTGAAATTTGAAATTATTAATTTTTATAAAAAATATTTTTCATATTTAATATCTTTAAATAGTGTCTTCAGAACACATGACCCTACCTATATTAATAATAAATTGAATTTGTTACAGTGACATAATGGGTTGGCATTCAACAACAAATATGCTGTAAATGGGTTGGCATTCAAATTTCTTGGGACTTGTCATCCCATAGGTGGGGCTCTATTCTTTTGATGGTATTTTCTTTGGCTACGTGGGACATCGAGTAGGCCTGCCTTTTCATGGAAATTTGGTGTGTCACTGATTGTAACAAGAACCAATAAAAGACTATGCGACAAAACTTAGGGTTTGTTGTGGCCATTAATTGATGATAAATTGTTTTCAATAATGTGCTAGTGGTATTCTTGTACAAGGCAATTTGAAGTCTGCAGAGTTGTGTGGAGTTATCTATCCAATATTATCAGTTTTATTAAAAATATAACATTTTAATTATTTATTATCTGATACTAGTTTAATAGTAAAATTTTTACTCATTGAGATAAATATCTAAAGATAAATAGTTGTGATATCATAGATTAACGTGTCAATAGATGTTTTTGTAACACTGATAAGTTGTCTTAACGAAATAATCATTTAATTCTAGTATTAAATATCATTTAATTTTTATTATATGAGTGTTTTAATATTTTATATTCTAGTTTGTGTCTAAATAAATATTTTTCAAACATAGTAACTAACTTGAAAATAAATAGAAACTTTATATATTAAACAAAACTGGAGTTTAAGAATTTTAAAAGTTAAATGTATTAATTCTTAAATAATATTTTTATGAGAAAAAGAGAAATTACTACAAGAAATATACTCTTCAACGAAGTGATTTAGTGACGTGATTATCATGTCACTAAAATTTAGTAGTTGCGATGTGATAATCACGTCACTATAATATTTTATAAATTAAATAATAAAAAATAATGCATAGTCTGCGTCAATCTATTTTTTTTATATATAAAAGTTGCGACGTGGGAAACACGTCACAACATAAAAAGTTGAATAAAAAAAAATTAAAACTGCAGGCGTTTTGAAGAGGGAAGTTTAAATATTTCAAAAAAAAATGTTGTGACGTGTTAAACACGTCGCAACTAATTTAGAGGGAACTTTGACAAGATGTCGTTCTGAACCATTCTGAAATGTGCAGATTAAGATTAAAAAAATAACCGTTAGAGGAGTTGCGACGTGAATATCATGTGACAAAGTTGCGACGTGATATTCACGTCGCTGATTGGTTTATTTTAAAATTATAACGTTGGGGTTGCGACGTGAATATCACGTGGCAAGGTTGTGACGTGATATTCACGTCGCTGATCGACTATTATACTTGCACGCTCTCTTTCCAAAAACCATTGTGTTTCTTCCTTCCTCCACTTTCTTCTTCTTTCTTTCTTCTGTTCTTCTTTCCTTCTTCTCTATTCTTCAATTGTTCCATTATCAAATCTCAATTACATCATCAATTCTAAATTTATTTTGTAATAAAGGTATAATATTTATTCAATTTATTTTTAATATTTTCGTTTTAAGTTAATTATGTTTTATGACTGACTTAATTTTTTTTGTCAAGAAATTGGAGATTAAAAAGAAGATTCAAGTGTTGTACAAGAAGTTGAAGGAGTTTCAAGAATTAGTATTTATATTTTTTATTTATATTTTAAATTTATTATATATATATATATATATATATATATATATATATATATATATATATATATATATATATATATATATATATATATATATATATATATAGATTGTTAGTTGTTATTTGAATTTTTTTTAATTTGATATATTATTCTGTGTATATGTATAGTGTAACAAGAAAAAAAATTAAATATATTTACTTAAAACAGAAATATACTATTTTTTTATTAAAATATAAAATAAAATATTATTTTTTGACAATATATAAAATATAATAAAGAATATAGAAAAATAAGTTAATAAAGATATGTTTTTTAAAACAGAATAAAAAAAAATGTAATGTAGTAAATATTTTTAACAATATATTTTAAAAATAAAAACAGTTTTATATATTTAATTAAAATGGTTATATAATATAATAAAAAATATATTAAAACAGTTTTATAAATATATTTTAAAAATATAAACAGTTCTATATTTAAAAACAATACAAAAAATATATATTTTAAAAATAAAAACAGTTTTATAAAATATATATATTTTAATTACTACCAACAATTTTTATCATATATATAGTTTTTAATAAAAACAGTTTTTATTTATAGTCAAAATAGAATATAATAATCAAAATAGAATATATATTTATCTTAATAAAAAAATTTATATTTTAATAAAAAACATTAACATGAATATAATAGTTAGGTATAAAAAATATTATTAATTTTTGAAAATATAATTATAAATAAAATATAATAAAAAATGAAATATATTATATATATTATTTTAAAATTGAGTAATTTATTTTTTAAACAAATTATATATTAAAAGTAGAATATCTTATATATATGTATTTAAAATAAAATAGAATATAATTATATTTTATATTTCTTAAAAGAATAACATCTTTGTTAAAAAAATTATGATTAATATATATTCAATATATTTATTAAACGTATGATAATATATATATATATATATATATATATATATATATATATATATATATATATATATATATATATATATATATATATATATATATATATATATATATATATATATATATATATATATATATATATATATATATATATATATATATATTCAAAATAGTTATAAATTTTAATTATAGTTACTATAGTTAAATATTTATTTATAGTTAATAATAAGACAATGATTGTATAAATGTCCAGTATGGAATATTATCGGTATGATCGTAGTTGGATGTACGATAGAATGTATTTAGGAAGACGTGCCCTTAAACCCCGTTTTATAGAAGAAGTTAATGAGTTTATCACGTGGGCGTTTGCTCAGGAATGTTGTCGAAGCGAAGGAGGAGCTAGGTGTCCCTGTCTTAAATGTGAATGTAGACCAATAATTAGTGACCCGGAAGAAGTAACACGTCATTTGCATAGAAGGGGTTTCATTGAAAATTATTGGGTTTGGACATATAATGGTGAAGAACTACCGAGTAACGTACCAGATACTAGCAACACGCATGCTTCAAGTAGTCGACCGCATATGGAATATGAGGAAAACTTTAATCTGATCGGTGAGATGGTTGAGGATGCTTTTTGTGTGAATGTGACATATGATCAAACTGAAGATTTTGATGAGGAAGAGTTTTCGAATGAGGAAGCGCTGAGATTTTATCAGTTTTTAAATGAGATGAATACACCATTGTTCGAGGGGTCATCAGACTCAAAGTTATCAATGTGTGTGAGATTATTGGTCGCCAAGTCAAATTGGAATGTTCCTGATCAGTGTTTGGAACATTTCACAAAAATGATGTTGGATTCTACCGCAATAAAAGACAACTTGCCTACAAGTGTTTATGATGCAAAGAAGTGGGTGTCAAAGTTAGGTTTAAAAGTAAGAAAGATTGATTGTTGCATTAGTGGTAGCATGTTGTTTTATGACAACATTGTTGGAGGAATGCAAGTTTTGTAAGAGTCCAAGATATAAAGTTCGCAGTAGAGTCATTAACAGCAAGCAAAAGCGTGTAGCAGTAAAGTCCATGTTTTATCTTCCGATAATACCAAGGTTAAAAAGAATGTTTGCTTTAATTCACAGTGCAAGTCAAATGACATGGCATCATATAAACCAAACAAGTTCAGGCACTATGCGACATCCATCTGATGACGAGGCATGGAAGCACTTTGATCGGACACATCTTGATTTTGCTGTAGAACATAGAAATGTCGGGCTTGGATTATGCTCTGATGGTTTTTCCCCATATGTGCAAGCGTAGGGAAGTGCGTATTCTTGTTGGCTAGTTATTGTAACTCCTTACAACCTCCCTCCTGAGATATGCATGACAAAACCATACATGTTTTTGACGTGCGTCATTCCAAGCCCGTCCAATCCAAAATCCGGAATTGATGTGTACTTACAACCTTTAATTGATGATTTAAAGAGGTTATGGATTGGAGAATGAACTTATGATATATCCTGTAAATAAAACTTTACTTTGCGAGCTGCCTTGATGTGGACCATTAATGACTTTCCATCATATGGCATGTTGTCTGGTTGGGGTACGCATGGCAAAATGGGTTTCCCGCATTGCATGGCATACACCAACGCGTTTACGTTGGATAAGGGGGGGGGGGAGCTCGTGGTTTAACTGTCACGCATATTCCTACCAACAAATCATCCCTATAGAAGAAACAAGACACATTTTAAAAAAGACGAACGAGTATCAGATCTGTCTCCGCCTCGATTGTCACCAGGTGATATATGGAACCAAGTTTGTGAACTACCAAAATTTACAGATACTTGCAAAGCATGTAGAATTGAAGGATATGGAGTCAGACACAATTGGACAAAAAGAAGTATATTTTGGGACCTCCTGTATTGGAAAGATAATTTGTTGGACCATTATCTTGATGTTATGCATATTGAGAATAATTTTTTTTTATAATGTATTTATAGAGTGATGGATGTTAAAGACAAAACAAAAGATAAAGAGAATGATAGATAGGACATGAAAATTTGGTGTAACCAGAAAGAGTTGGAGTTGAAGCCTCAACCGAATGGAAAATTATTAAAACCCAAAGTTTGTTTTAGTCTAACTTCCCAAGAAGCTAAAGCAGTTTGTCGATGGTTAAAAGATTTGAGAATGCCGGATGGGTATTCTTCAAATTTAGCAAGGTGTGCCGACACTAACACTGGGAAGTTGCATGGTATGAAAAGTCATAATTGCCACGTTTTTATGGAACAATTGCTACCAATTGCATTTGGTTCACTATCCAAACATGTGCTTAATCCACTAAATAAAATTAGTCAATTTTTTAGAGATATTTGTGCGTCCACTTTAAGAGTGGATGACACCGTTAAGTTGGACCAAAACATTCCACTCATTCTCTGTAAGTTGGAACAAATATTTCCGCCTGGTTTTCTTGACTCCATGGAACATCTACCTGTACATCTTGCATATGAAGAGTATGACCCTTTCATAATGTCACATATTGTTAGGCAAGTTTATTATGTTCCTTATCCTTCATTTGTACCACGTAAACGAGGATGGTGTGTTGTAATAAAAACAAAACCCCTGGGTCATATTAAAACTGGTGATCTAGTGGAAGATGTTACTTACCAAGTTGATGAAGTTGAGCAAATTAATGATGTAAGTGTAGATGAACAAATTACAAGTTTGTCTGATACAATGGTTGAGGAACATCAAGTTGATGTATCTATATTGTTGGTTGATAATAATGTGGACGAAGAGCATGATGAAGAGTTTGGATCCGAGGACAATATCACATCAGATGATGAGAATGATATGGATGACGAGCATGAAGATTTAGAATAATGAAATATTTATTGAACGTGTTAATGAATATTTATTGAATATGTTAATGAATATGTATTGATGAGTATAAAGAATCATCTATTGAATATGTTAATGAATATGTATTGAAGAGAATGTATTTTTCAAATTTAGTATTTTTGTTGATGAATATATATATATATATATATATATATATATATATATATATATATATATATATATATATATATATATATATATATATATATATATTAATTGTGTATTCTATATAAATAGGTAAAATGTCACCTCAAATTGATAAGAGTAAGGATAGTGGTAAAAAAAGTCCCAACTCCTGAGGTTAGTAACACGTGAGGCACCTCAGTCGGCCACGTGCCCTCCCTCGCAGAGTCAGGTCGATTCTATGTCCATGGCCAGTACTCAGCCTTTTGTGCCATTACTCTCCTCTCAGAATATGTCATTCTCATATGGGACTTCTTCTTTTACTAGCCCGTATGGGATACCATCTTTTGTTAGGCCATCTGGTTTTCTTTTCCCGCAGACCTAGATGCCCTCATCCTTCCAGCATATTGGAGGATTCAGTTTTCCACATCTCACACAGATGCCCTCATCCTTTCAGCATATTGGAGGATCTAGCACCCCACATCCCATACAGATGCCCTTACCTTTCCAGTAGACTGGAGGATCCAGCAACCCACATCCCACACAGATGCCCTTATCCTTCCAGCAGACTGGAGGATCCAGCACCCCATATCCCACACAGACTGGAGGATCCCGCACCCCACATCCCACACATGTATCTGCACGTGAGGATGATCATGCGTAGCCGGATGATGATGATCATGTGGATGGGGATGATGATGTGTTGGATGGAAATGATCTTCGAGGGAATGATGATCCGAGTGAGATTCATGTCATTGACAAGAGATTTTGGATTTGGCCCGAAGGAAACTCGTAAGTTTCTTATTTATAAATTTTTATTTAAGATAATGCATTTTCATTTTTAATATAAATTTATATTTAATATAACTAATTCAAATTATTGTTGTTTAGTTTCGCGCCGAGTCGGACTGCTGTCAAGGTTATAAATTATATAATTCAACAGATGTATAAACAACTTTGGAAGACCTTCAAAGATGTCAAAAATAAAGAAGCTTAGTTTAAAAAATTTAAGGTATAATTAATTTATTTTTTAGTTATTGTTATTTAAATGACTATTTCATTATAATTATCTAACTATTTATTTTAATGTCATACAATATTGTAGGAAAAATGTATGTGGGACCCATTGAACGAGAAGATGATAATTTTTTTTTATTATGGCAGAACCTCAAGACGTCTTTATGACATAACGCATCGTGTTAGAGAGCGTTGGGAACTTCAGGTTATCCGTCCCATTTGGATAGGGAAATAGGTTTTTGAGGAACTTCTTAAATATTGAGAGTCACCCGAATTTCGGGCTAAATCTGAAAATTTAAAGAAGATGAGGACATCTGAAAAAGGAGGCTGTGTTAATGCAGTTGGAAGTATAAGTATCGCAGAGCATGTTCGACGCATGGTAAATATTACCACTTTTTTAAGTTATATTTTGATTCATATTTTATTAATTAATGTTAATTTTTTTTATTATTTAGACCAAGAATTTGGGGAGACTTCCATTGATGATTGAGTTGGTTAAAAAGACTCGGACAAAGAAAATCTGAGATTTTGTTGACAAACGCACTCTAAAATCTTTCGTAAGTTATTTAATTTACGTTGTTGTTTATATTTTTTTTATTTAATGACAATTTTGTGTCGTGATTTTCACGTGGCAACTGAGAAACTGTGACGGGAAAATCACGTGGCAATTGAGAAGTCGTGGCGTAAAAATCACGTGGCAACTTTTTAAATATAATATAATATAATTTAATTTAATTTATTAAATATTTAACTTTTTTTTTTATTTTTTATTGAACGTATAGGAGGATTATCAGACATTGCTCGCAAATTTTCTGAGTCATAATCCTCAATATACTTCGGGAGAGGGTGAGCCGCTTCATCCATATGTGGACTTTTATATTTAGGATCAAGTCATTGGCAGAAAAGGCCCTGACGGTTGTTTTTTTGGTGGGGAAATTTGGCGGACACCTTGAGAAGTAGGGATAGAACTCTATTTCAAAGAGTTAGAGATGGGGAAGGGGAGTCACGTCAACCAAATTTGACACCAGAACAACTTGAAACCGTAAGACAATTGGCGTTAAATGAGGCGAGACGCGAGTCAGCGCAACATGAGGCGACAATGAAAACCCAAATGGAGGCAATGAGGCAAGAGCAACAACGGCAAATGGAGGCCTTGGCGAAGAGGCAAGCTGATATGGAGAAACAAATGAGACAATTTATTCAAGGGTTTGGTGGAAATTCAAACTTTTGCGGTCAAGAGTCGGAGGATGACGGAAGCGATGATAATTTTGACATTGATAATTATGACCCGTAAACTTTAATTTTTTTTATTTTACTTTCAAATATAAATTTGTATACCATACTAATTAATTCTTAAATTTATAATTTTAGTTTATTAATTTTATTATAATAAATTTAATATATTGAATTTATTATTTTAATTTATTATATTGAATTTATTAAATTGAATATATAAAAAAAACAATTCCAATTATTAAATTAAAAAAAATATTAGTGACATGATTTTCACGTCACAAGTTATGACATGAAAATCACGTCGCAACTTACTTTCTATATAAAAGAAAAGTGGATGACAGGCGTTATTATAAAAAACACATAATTGAAACTATTTAGTGACGTGTTTTTCACGTCACTAATTTGTGACCGAAAAACATGTCACAAGTAAAGTAACTTTATACCTGATGCGCCTGCTCTCTTGCAGAGATGGGTTTTCTATAAAACTTTGTTGCGACGTGATTTTTACGTCACAACTTTGTGACATGAAAATTATGTCGCAAACTTTTTTCCACCCCCTTCCCAGCCACGTGAACGAACACGTCGCAAGTATTGTGTAGTGACATGATTTCTCATATTATGACGTAAAATTCACGTCGCAAATGAGTGTTTTTTTTTGTAGTGAATACAATTATAGTTTAAATATTTATAAACCGTTAATCAATGAGAAACATATACCGATTAAAAAATATTTTATTTAAAGTAATGAAATGACACAATAAGTATAAATATTTTGATTATTGTATGAATAACATTGATTTATTATTTTTATATTAAACTAAGACATGTTTTGACAATTTTTAAACAATTGGTATGTAACTAAAAATACAGCAAGTTATGTTACTATTTCTATTGTTTCAAAATAAGTGTATTTGTGACTAATTTTTTTTTTTAAATAATATTTTTTTACTTTTTTTAATGTAATATTAATTAATTTTTATCAATTTTACATTTAATAAATATTGTATACACATTTTTTAAATTATAACAATATATAACAATCAATATTAATTAAAAATAATTTTATAAAAATATTACTTTTTATTGATTCAATCATTATTTTTTTTAATTTGTGAATAACAATTTTAAATGACTTTTATTTTAATAAATATAAAACTTATCTAGCATAAATAAGCATTTTTGTTTTGGATAGGTGGAGGTAGTTTAATGATGCAAACTAATGATCCAGGATTTAATTCTAAATATTAATATTTATTTATATTTATATGTAAACATAAGAATAAATATTAATTTTCTATTATTTATAAATAATATAAAAAAATATTAATAAATATGTTTTAGTGTAAAATAAATAATTGTATACTATTGTCAAATAAAAATTTATTATTTAACCATATTATACTACTAACTTAATTATATTTTATGATTTAACAGAATAAATGATAATTATAAATTAATAGAATATAATTATTTTATATTGACAATTTATCTTCTATTTTCTCTATTAAAAATAATAAATATATGTATTTTATTAAACTATTTATTTTTATTTATTTATTATCTTACCTTTTACTATAAATACTCATTTATAATTTTAATAAGATAATAATTAATACTAAATTAAATTTTAAAAACTACTATTAAATATAAGCACGTAAAAAATTGAGAACGTAATAATAATTCTTTATCATAATC